TCAGGTAATCCACTGGAAGAGAAGTGGAACGGACCATTCCAAGTGCTACTGACCACCTTCACTGCAATCAAAGTGAAAGAACAGCTGTCCTGGATTCACTATTCTCGCATGAAAAGAAAAAAGCTCCAGACAAGCAATGGACTTCTGAAACCTTTAGGACCCTTAAAACTAAGATTACAAAAGACGGCTTCGAGTCTTACGGAAGATCCCGACTTGAGCAGAGATGGACTTCCGAATGTACTGGATCAGCGAAACTGCGATTCCGGAAATCATTATTATGATCTTCTACATCACAGCTGGATGGACAGAGAACTGCACCACCCATCAAGATCTAGATGATGTCCCTGACCCTGAAGATTGGACCAGGAATGGATATTTGGGCAATGCAGGTCTGAATATCACATATAAGAAGACTAAGGTATACACAGTTTTAAAAATTGATGGTCAGATTAGAAGAGATTGGGGAAATTCACGACAAATACTGTCTTTTGAAATAAAAGAGAAGCAGTTTATAAGGTAGGCGCACTATGAAGTCTAGAAAGCCGTTCAGCAACATTCCTATTCCCCTTTGCACTCCATGTGCCTCGGAGAAATATAATTACTCCAAGTCCAACCACCATCCCTCTGTTTGAATCAGCTAACTGTGCTGTGAAATACCATAACCTTTCGTTTGCAGGCCCTTATGTAGTGAGACAATCCAATGAGCAAAAATTATTTCTGGACCCCACATATTCTTTAAAGAAGGTACGGGTAAAGGTACAAGCTGATATATCTCAGATAAAATCAGAATGCTTACCTTTTGTTTCGCAAAGTCTTAAAGGATGGAAGGCATGGTTACATTCCAGAGCTCACCACTCAAGGAAACAGAGAGATTTAACAGGATGGTTTGGATCTGGACTAGGAGTTTTAAACTCGATTGATCAGGAAGTAATAATTAATAAACTGAGCACAGTCACCTCTGATTTAGGAAGACTAGAAGTACCATTAAGATCATCTTTAATCACTCTGGCTGGAGCTCAGCAATTGACTGTTGATTTCATTTCCCTATTATCTAACCATACTACTGAGGATTTCCAAGCAGTAGCAACATTTGTACAAGGACTACAAGGAAATGTCTCTATTGCCATAAAGTGTATACAAACACAACTTTGGATACAATCTGTGGTTTCTGATATAATCAGAGAAGGGATGTCAGGAAACCTACCACAGGAAATTAGAGAAATTATCGCTAAGAACGATACTACCACCCCATTCGAATTAAAACATCAGGCTTGGTGGCACTTAGTTAGTTTCACACAAAAGAATAAATTGAAGCCTATGTGCTGACAATTCAAAAGGCAAAGGTGTGGGACATTTTCCCTATTTTAGCACTAGGGGCAATCCATCAAGATGTAGTAGTCAGACCAATAAACCATAATGTTTGAGCAAGATATAAAAATGATATAAGGAAATGGCAGACCATTAGTACTGAAGCTTGCATGCAAAAGGAACAACTAGGATATATTTGTGAGAATGCAGTCATTGAAAATGAAGATTTGTGCTTAGACACAGAAGACAGTACGTGCACATTCGAGATGCTTCCCTCAGAACATGCTCAATCACAGGTGTATTATGTAGGGAAAGGATGCGTCTGTATAAGAACTAGTTGTGTTAATGTTAGCATTGATACTTGTGAAGAAGAAACAAATGGAACTAACTTTTGTGTTTGTAATTTTACCAAGATACAAGGTTGTGATTTTAATTATTCTGCTCCTATAACCACTTCTCAGTTGATCTCTGACAGTTTCATGCTATACAATGATGTACCTAGACTACGGATTGGAATGGACATTAATGTCCTTAAGAAAATGCTTTCCCACCCAGACATTAAAATGTTGATAAAGAAGGTGAAGGAAGCTTCGAAACGAACATTATGGCAAGTCCAGCACAATACTCTGGAAATAAAGAAAATCATCACAGCCATCGAGAAAACTGGTGAACACCATTGGTGGGACATTTTTCTAAATACCTCACTAAAATCTCCAACTGCTGCTCAGTTTTTCAACTTCTTATTGCATCCTGTACTAGTGTTGATTTTTGTAACCCTACTGCTGACACTTCTCAACATTTGGTTGTGGTGGAAAGTAAGGACTGTTGCTCAACAAGTACATGTATTATGGACTGTAAACAAAATTATGCAAAAGAATTTGCAATAGCATAAAGAAAAGGGGGGACTGAATTAAAGAATAAGGCCAGGAATGGCTTGAAGGTTTGCTTACCTAAGTATGACTTAGCAAATGTAGCCTGACTGACCACAAAGAGGGGCCTGCAACCCCTGCAGAGCTACGATAAGTAACAAGACAGGAAGGCTGGCACGTAGGCAACAGTCGTGAGGCCAGCACAATGTTATCTTATCTCTGACAAATGGAGAACTCCAAGAGGGAGGTAGCGTATGGTAATGAATTACTGGAAACTAATGAATATGTTAAAACTCCTTACATGAATATGTATGTATGTATGCATATATGTTGTCAAACCGACTCCGTCTGGCGCGCACATTTGGAGGAGCGATCCCCTGTGCGTCCAGCGCTGCAATAAAGAATACCTGCTTAATAGTCATCCCGGCTATTGAGTCCTGATTTCGTCTTTCACGGCATCAATACTCTTTTCAAAATGTTATTGATGTTGTATTTACACTATACTGACTGAGCAAATGTAATGTAAACTAACTAGAAAAACCTCAGCCCTCTGCTTGTTAACACTGCCATATATATGTACACACATACGTGTGTGTGTGTGTAAATATATGTATAGATTGGCATGCATAGAAATATGGATACAAATGATCTGAATGTAATTGTCTGTTTCCCACCCCGTACCCCCGGACTCCCCTCTTAAAGTTACTAGGGGAGAAAAATAAGCTTTATACTGCTTTGGAGAAAAGTATTCTCCAAAACTATGCCTTTAGTAAGTTTAAGGGATGCATAAAGACCCAGAAAGCAACATTCTGTTATTCTAAGTAGAAACAGAAACCTTGTCGCTCAGCGTTGTCTGACTGTTCCATCCACTGCCCAGTTCATCTTCCTTAAGCCTCAGGGTCTCATTGGAGAGTGTAACAGGAAGGTGAAGCACGTGTAGGCAGAGAATTGAATAAACTCAATAGGAAACAAGCTTTTACCTACATGATTACAAGGAAGGAAGCACTAGAATAAAAGGAGGCGGATTTGCTTCTCAAGTGTGGTGGTTTTTTTTTTTTTTTACACCTTGATCTCACTGGCTTTGTCTACCTTGAAGATGAATAAGTAGTGTGAAAGTAAATGTATCGAAAAAAGAAATTTCTTTTCTTAAAGCCTTTTCTAATTACCTCTTTGGCTACTTCAGCAGGTTCAAGTATTGAATTAAGCTGTGAGTTTTGTTTACTGTCTGTTCAATATCTGATTCTTCTTCCTTGTTCAGAACACTGTTATCAAAAATGGAGCCAGGAGGGAGTTTGCATATTGAGCTCCATTAGAGTGCACTGTTAGGAAAAACAGATAAATAAAATTGAAAGGTGATACAAGTTAAAATCAAGCTTTCCATACCACTTAGTGAACACATGCCAAAGATTTTATAAAGTTATTTTTAGCAAATGGGTATATCTGTGAGTTGCTATTATCTGTAGTCTGCCAGCAAGAGAGAGTCCAGCTTCGTTGTGCAAGCAGTATCATGTTGTTAGCAGAGTTCCCAGATTGCTGAAAGGTTTTGAGTGCAGCATTTTACTAAAGCAGCCAAATGTCCTCCTTAACCAGGGTTAGCTGCTGTCTGGCCATCTTGGCAAATGAGCAGAAAAAGAACCCTTTGTGCTTGTAGAAAAATCCTAATTGTCTTGAGTGTAATTAGAGGGAACACTAGGTCTGGAAGATTAAGTGCTTCATCAATTATGATGATGTTCTTGTAACAAAGGCCATTTCTTTTATTACTTCTGTTGCAATAGAATAGTCTTTTATGTTGATTCAGAAGCATGGGTAATGAGTCCTTAATGTGAAATACTGCCTTCTTTTAACAGTTTGATTTGTGTTCACAAGTAGGATACCCGATACTCTGCTGAACTGCCAGTTCCTGTGCTATAGGCAAGTAATTCAGAAGTGTATCATGTTTTGATTTACTGTGTGACTCTTTTCTAGGAGCATAACATGACTGATGTATAATAGGTATTGTTAGTGGTCAAAATATACCAGGTGGATATCCTTATAATAATGTTCCAAGAGCTATGCTGTAGTTATGGTAACTATCATAATAAAGTGTGTGAAAGCAGAGTTTGATACTTCACATAAGGAAATCTGTAAGATGGAGTAGGAATGTTAAGGGACAAATAAGAATTAGTATTTACAAAATATCCTGAGTCATGTTGTTTCTATTAAATATACTGTAAATCAAAGTAAAGTTCATAAGCAGATTGAAGAGGTAAGTTGATTGTGGTTATCTGTTTCAATTTTATTGGTATATAGTTGAACTGAAGTATTGAGCAAAATTTGAGTGTTGAAGTATCTGAGCCTTCTAGGGTGAAGAGTTAAGTGATGGATTATCTTTCAGTGCATGTTTGTGTACAGATCTAACTGCATATGATGTTTTAAGAGTGTAGGACTAATTCTGTACTGAATTTGGGAATGTAAAAATATTCTCCTATTTAAAAAAAATAATAAAATCCCAAAAACTTGCATATCCAGAAGTACGCATTTTGACAGTGTTTTTACTGAGTTATGCATGAGTGTTTTATACAAACATCTGTGAGATATGCCCAATTACTGGCCAGGAGTTAAATACTACACCATTGTATGCTCTAGTGTTTCTTTTTTTCTATTGGAATCTGTGTACGTATACTTGAGCAGAAAGCTTCTTAGGACAGACTGTACTTTTAAATATGTGATTTATAGTAAGCCATTCCAGCTGAAAGTGTATATCTAGTGATGAACTGTTGCATGTCTGACAGTAAGTAATAATGAAAATTCCGTGCAATGCTTCATGTTTGAGAACGATTTCCATGAGTTTCATAACTGTTCTGTGGAATTGTATCAAGTTATTTACTTAGACAACACCACTTGGAGAAAAACAATAAAAATTAAAAATGTTACTGACACTGAGTGTTTTGATTTTAAAAACAGAGGAAGATCATTGTTACATTTTGGCCAGTACTCCCTTTAAACAAAGCCAAAAAATATTTTAAAGTCTTAAAAGATTTAAAGAAGAAATGTTTCAAGACAGAATTCCTTTTAGTAGCCAATTACTAACAGCACAAGAAAAAAAAAATCCATTAGAAGTAGTTCTCACTGTTCTGAGAAGTTTCTTAGTGTTACATTTTAACATGATGCTACCTCTTGAATTGAAAATCCTTCACACCAAGCATGAAATAGAGGTACCGGTTTTCTATTCCATGTCCTTTGCAAAAATTGTGTGGGATTAAACAGGGAAAAATAATGCCTCATTTTGCTCTGAATAAATTTTCTTGTAATCCTAATTCAGACATCTAAATGTTCTTTTCCAAAGCTAAACTAGTAAT